AGGCAGACCTGGTGGGACTCGCCTGTTTTTAATAGCTCGCCTGCTCGGGCGGACTCGCCTGACTTAGGCAGACTTCTTGAATCAGGAATATGACCTGAGAAACAAAGCCCATCTGAATTGGTGGGCTCGCTCAATTTGGTTGGTTCGCCTAGATTGCTAGGTTTGCCCGAAGCACTGAGTTCGCTAAAACGGAGAACTCCGCAACCAGAGCGAATCCCTCCTGAACATGGGGCCCGTCTGACTTGCTCAGCTCGCCAGTATTGAGAAGATTGTGTCTCCGCTTGGCATTTTTCAGACTCGAGTAATAATTCAGGCCGTCGTAAGAGGCGAAGGCTCGGGCCTCTTGTCGGGTGAGAGTCTATCATCGCCGTTGACAGACTCTCCTAGAGAGAGGGGCATCCATGCAGACTACGATGACGTGGTCCATGCCGAGATGAATAATTGTCTCTTCTTGAGCGGGGGTCTGCGAGGATTGTTTAGCGACCCATCTAGTAGTTTTTCGCTCCGTACTCTTGGTGTTCCGCTCAGCCTTGACTGATTTGGGGGAGATAGCACCCCCTTCCATGGCTCGGGTAGAATCCTTAGGTATGGGTGCCTCGACCACTTGGGGTTGGGCTACACACATAACTCTATGGTGCTTGCGGGACGCATTGCCACTAGAGGAGGAGGAAGACAAGTATTCTTCGTACTTGGCCTAGTCGAACTCGATCATGAGGGACTCCACGGTTGTCCCAAGTGCAATCTCGTCGAACTGCGCCACCACCAATTCATCAGAATGAACGGTTTCTCCCACTGCGGTCGCCATCTTCTGTTGGGTGTAAAATTTGATCTCCCAAAATATGGATTTTATTTGTATTGATAAGAATAGCTTATCACAAACTAATAAATCAAAGTTACAATAGAAGTGAATGGAATGCCCTCCTTGTTTAACGTGGGATCTTTGGTAGCGATAGGATGCCTCCCTCAGTGCTGGAACTGAGTTTACTTCCCTTAGACGATCCGAGTGAAGTTGCAGGCGAGCTTCAATATGTAGTAGAAGCTCGTGTTGATCGAGTTTGAGTTCCCGAGCATAATGGCTATCAAGGCCGAAAGATAGAAGAAGGAGCTACAGTGCAAGAACAATTCAAAGAGCGGATCGCCAACCAACTGAGGAATGAACCAACCAGCTAAAAGCGAACCCCTTTCACATAGCCAGGAGAGGCTCTTAAATAGGGAAGAGATAGCATGGTCACTCCCTTGAATCATGGAACATGACCATGTACCGTTGAGAGATGTCATGCCTCTCACTTGTCCTGTGAGCGGCTACCTGATGGGTGTGGAGTACTGTACTCCCCCCCACCCCCCCTCTCGTCATGGGAAATGCGGAGGTCCATCCATGTACGTGGACATCATTGGCCGCCTAGTGCCATGTCAAGCTTTTGGCTGAACTTGCAGGCGGGGAACTGCTTGATGCGTGGATGTGCAGGCGAGCTTCGTTCGTGCTAGCGAACTTATTGCTTGAGTGGACTTGACTCGTGCTGGTGAGTCAAGCATGCAGGTGAGCTTCGCTCATACTGGCGAACTTCAGCGTTTGAGCGGACTTGACCCGTGCTGGCAAGTCAAGCATGCAGGCGGGCTTCGTTCGTGCTGGCGAACTTCAGCGCTTGAGTGGACTTGACACGTGCTGGCAAGTTAAGCATGCAGGCGGAATTGATCTCTTGATGTCGGGCTCGACGATTAAAACGAATTTGCTTGGCTCTTCTGCGTGCAATCGTACCCATACAGCGGGTTTCTTAGATCTTCCTGTTGCTAAGGCAATTTTTATAGCCTACAACAATGTAGAGATGTCTCAATCACTCAATCCCTAACAACACCCTAAAAGCCTAAGACAACTCTCTCAAATAAAGAACAAAAAAAAAAGAAAAATATCAAATAGGCTTCACAAAAGAACTCTCTCTTCTTAATTGATGGTCTGTAGATTGATATTAATAATTTATTTGAAAGATGTACATATATAGCCTTGAAGACCCCGAACGTCATTAGCTATCTAGTGGCATAGGAGGCCTAATGGGAATAGAAGTGCACATGCGCTAAAGCCCAATAAGAGTTCAAGCCCATAATATGAATTGTTTATTTTTGTCAAAATTGGGATTTGAAGGCATAATCATTTCAATCCCACAAGACGCTGGACTTATATTGACTGTAGTATCTTCTAAAAATATGAGATTGAGTATTTGAGTCACAAATAAATCAAAGAAACAGAGGGATCTGACATCACGCTAGCATATGCTCTTTTCAAATTTTTAATAAAGTAGTTCTATCAGTCATAGGCTATAACACTTAATATTATTCCCAAAAAAAACTCTAGAGATGAAGTCTTGAGTAGTAAAAAGTATCATACGTAGAGGTCTTTATTATTATATTCTATAAATAAGTTTTTCTGTTGATAGAATTTATATTATATAAGTTATTATTCAAAAAAAATCAGGATCCATTCACAAAAAAATTATTAATTTACATTATATAAGTATCATGCGTAGAGGTCTTTATTATAGTTATTATTCTATAAATAAGTTTCTGTGGTAGAATTTATAATATATAACATTAATTTATATCCAAAAACACTCGAAATCCATTCACAAAAAAAATCATGTCTCTCTATTAAGAACAACACCAGTAGACATAGACGTATCCAAGACAAAACAAAATTATCTTCCAGATGTTAATTACTACTAAACCGGAAAAAGAAAAGCCACCTAAATAATTCAACTCCAGAGCATAAGAATGTTCAATTTACATTAGTCCCATCAGTTGCTTGAATGACAAATCTCTTCATCCTTGGGCAGTTTCATTTCTGCCACCAACCCAGTATTGCTTTACGACATACAAAACCTTTTCGGGCACAAGAGGGCCGTCCTCATGATCAGCCATCTTTGTATTCCATCTCATTCCAGCGGCAAGCTTCTTCACCTTTATGAGAACATCGACCTTGTCTCGGACTATAACTGCACCTTCTGGCCGCAAGATCCTGTCCATCTCTAGGAGAATGTCTTCCATTTTGCATCTGATTCAGATGCAAAACAATATGAAATAAATATTCATACATCAGCATAGAATGTGCAAACTTTTGTGATGCAATAATGTGTGTTTGTGTACATGTGGATGTGGGTGAGTGGGTGGCTGTCACATGCATGTGTGTGTGTGTGCATGCACGAAGAGTGTGTGAAAGTATACCTGGACCAACTACTTCAGAGTTGCAAGTAAACATTCATTTTGCTAAGTGCTTTATGATGCATATTGACAAATCATGTATGTGATTGCTTAATATAAGTTTCTAAATGATGATTGGATGAATGCACTAATATATAGCATTTGGTGAAAAAGCCCTTCTCGTTAAAACAAATAGAAGTGCAAATTGAAGATTATCCACAAAGGAAATATTTAGATTCTAACAACTTCATGATGGCCATGCGCATATGCCTAGCTCCTGTACCAAGGCAAAATTAGGCAAACGAGGGACGTATCATGGAATCTACGAGCCACATGGTGATTTCATCCCTCAAAATAAACAAATCTCTAACTTTCTCTTGACTAGAAGACAGTTCAGAATAATAAATTTGAATCAGGGATGGCTCGTCTAAAAGGCACAACTTGTAAGCTAACAATATCTTCTGCGTGCTGTACATGCACACGCGTGCACGCATGTGCATGTGTGTCTGTGTGTGCATACATGCACGTCTGTGTGCATGCGTGCACGTACGTGCGCGTGCGTGCATGTACATGCGCGTGTGCGTGCGGGCGGGCGGGCGTGTGTGCATGAAGTCTTCAGATGAAAAAAGGGTTCTGGTCTTACTTAATAAAAGAAAGTCTTCAGATGAAAAAAGGTTTCTGGTCTTACTTAATAAAAGAAACATATTGGTATGTCTAACAAATAGTTTAGTAAGCCTTTTTCTCCTCTTTCCAGTTACATACTTCTGCATATAAACCCTTAGTTCAATTTCCATGAGAAATTTAAATTCTTTCATTTTACAATACACATACAATTTCATGTGCCCAAAAATCTAGATCAATCAAGTTACATTGTTAGTAGCATTCAGTTTATCCTCCCCTCACGCCCCATGTAATGTCCAAAGTAAAGTGCAGACAAATCAAAGGAAAGGATATAAATAGGATGAAGAAGATGTGGACAAAACCTTCTCTTCCTTTTTTCTCCTTGAATTAAGGAACAAAAAATAAGGATTCGTGAAGTTGTGAATAAATAATTGGAAATGGCTAGATGACTATACTTAGTATACCATTTTAAGTCCCGTTCTTCATTGATTTATCTGTGTCCCTAAATTAAAGTCCAATGAATCATAGAGGACCATGAAACCAAAGACAGAGGAAGGCTTCAAATGTGACTGCATATCGTATTTATAACTTCTTTCAAGAGACTGCATTTTGCATCCATATCCTCTTCTATCGTTAGTTCTAAAATTTTAACCTTCTAATTGCATTTTATATTCGTCAAAACAATAGACTTAGATAATACGCCTAAAAGGCTAAGATGACATTATTTCTTAGTTATCCATTTCTTGTGCACAATTCCATAAACGTACCTGAAGCAGTGAAGCTATTATTAAAATATCAGAAAGGACCATGATTCACTTACTTGTTCTTGTATAAGCTGAAAACAGCATTAGCATGGATGAGGTCATATGTTCTCGGGTACGTGGAGAAAGCTTCACACCTGATAAGGAAGAACAATAGCATGTTAAATCATGATGAAAAGTAAAAAAAACGAAGAAAAAAATCATAAACTAATAAATTATGATACTGTATCTAAGACCACCAACCATTAAGATCTCAGAGAGCATCATGTTTTTTTAAAAGCATAGCTGCATAAGTGGTATTAACTTTTAAGTGACTCAAACAGTAAAAAAATTATTTAAATACATGTGCCCATAAATTGCATTATAATACCAATTACCAAATGTAAATATAGCAGATTAATAAAGTTAAAAACTAATTTGGGAACACCTTGAGAATCTAAAAGTAACAACTGAATATTGAGAGAGAAGATGCATACCAATCATGATATATGCCAATTAATCCTCTTTCATATATAGCACCAAGCGTGGATATTTCGGCGATAGTAGGCACAACATTCATCACCCATAATTTTGGAGATTCAAGTGTTGCAGCAAAACTACCCAATCCTGCATTCATATCCATTATATTCCGATATCTTCCAGTGTCAATTAACTTGTTGACATTTTTATAAGCTTTAACATGTTTCTTCCACAAGTTGTTATCTTCATGATATGACTCCACTGAGATCCCTGGTATTGAACCAGAAGATATTCTAGGAGGAACAGCATTTAACCTCTCTGGGAACGTCTTTAGAGATCCTCCAGCAACCTCTTCAGGATTGTTAACCTCAGGATAAGGAGTTACACATGTTTCCATCTTCTTGTACCTAGTATAGTGGAAGTTTGACACATGAACCCAGCTATAACATAAGCAGGAAGAAATATGACGAACGAAATATTGGAAACAGTCTGTTACATAAACAGGAAGAAATATGATGAATGAAATATCTGAAACAGTCTGTTGCAATTGTACGTAGGCTGTAAACTCAGATAGTTTATACAAGGCTTAATTCCACTTACATACCCTATAGTTTCACCTACTTTGCACATATATAACCCTAATTGTACTTGGCTGCACTTAAACATCCCAAAGTTTCTAAAAGTTGCACTTTAGTACCCTCGGTTATGTAAACGTGATATCCCCCCCCCCCTCGGGGCAAAAACTCTTCTGCGCCACTCACATGCTAATTTAGAATATTTAACTCTTACTACATGCTAAATTTACTGATCAATCAATCAAAATCCTATTCTAAAATAGAATCAGAGTAGGCTTTAAAATAGGATTTTAACAGTTTTAGCAGAAGATTTAGCAAAAATAAGGGTTAAAATGTTCTGAAAATAGCATGTGTTGCATGAGAATTTTCAAGGTAAATTCTCACGTTTGCATAACCAAGAATACTAAAGTGCAACTTTTAGAACTTTAGGGTATTTAAGTGGAAAATCACATACAATTGGGCGTATATATGTGCAAAGTAGGTGAAACTATAGGGTATTTAAGTGTAATCAAGACTTTATACAATAAGAAACATCGAGGTTAATTGGAGTTCCAGTTGTTCATTATGTATTGGCAAAAATGGCGTACATAATAAGAAACATTGATATTAAAACAGTAGGTTCAAGTTGTTTATTGTATAGTGATACCAGCTGATCACTCTCTATCATCACCAATATCATCAGTGAATATCTGACTAGCCTAGCTAGTTCCTAACGATATATTCAAAAATCTGATAGTGGATATAGATGCTGGCCAAAATACTTAACGATCCGATGTTTTGCTACAGGTATTTCCCATCAGTGTGCTATTATCAGAGTTGGCGCAGGCTCTAGGCTGTTAGCATCAATAGAGAAGAATCACAGTGACAATGAGGATTATACTTTTACATTGTAACAACGAGGATTAAGATCGTATAACGTTTTCTATGGACCAAGGTTGTGGTGAGGTTCAGGATAATAATTTTATGTTGTAAAGATGTGGATTAAGCTCGTGTAACTTTTGCTTATAACCAAGGACCAAACCTCTAAATTTTATCAAGATCCCGTATAGCAAGTAAGGCCCTAAAGAAAGATGCACAATAATGTGAGTTGCTACATGTATTCACTGGAGGCACATCAAAAGTCAAATGGCCAAATGAAATTACTTCCCTTGATAGAAAATTCATCCAGTATGCGACTCAGGCAAGCTGGTTTCTTATAACCGATGTTACATAGATCGGGTACTAGTACAGGTGCAGGTAGCAGTATGGGACACGGAAAATTTGTAAAAGTTAGGGTACGTGAACTTAGCTATATATATACATATATTGAGCTTAATTTTACATAAGATCAATAATGCACTCATTTTTTAACAAGATACACAAACAACCTCTAAAATCATAGTTCTGAATTGGGTAGGGATTGAAACGAACGAGTCTAATGTGTTTTAGGAAGTGAAAGTGAAGTGTACGATAAACGTCCAAGAAGTGTAAGACGAGTGTTTTAAATTAAACCATGTATTATATATAACTTAGTACACGTATAAATTAATCTATGCATATATTCAAGAAGTATCGGTGTCCAGTATGGGTATGATACACGATAGAAATGTTCAAGGAGCTTCCGAGGAGTGCTGGTGTCTATTACATGTTGGGTACGGGTACGGTTTCATGGTAGAAGAACCCGGGTAACAAAGATTATAACTTAGCATGATGAAAATTTAGACTTTCATCATAAATAAAAATAGGCCCATGTGATTGTGAAGACTACAGATAAGCAATTCAAGTCATAGAATTTACCAGACATCATCAGCATTTGACGATTCACATATTTTGACCCGGGGTTCATCTTGCCTCCCGGGACAGGAATCAGAATTTATTCTTTTTCTCCAGACAGCAATGTCACCCTTCTCAGAGAACTTTTCCCAACAAAGAAGTTCTGCTATTTCTTCAATCTTTTTCTGCTCTTCCTCAAGGTCCTCCTTAGTGCGTTCCCATGCCATGTAGTGGGACTTCCAGTTAATGGGAGGACCAGAAAGCACCCAAAACCCGCCAGGCCTTAGGACCCGATCAACCTCCATCATGTATCTTCCTTCTGAAAAAGAAGAATTAACATAGAGTATGATAAAGGCTTGCAGTTCTAATTATTAAAGAGGGATATACTCACAACTTAATTAACAAAAATGAAAAAGTATTTTCAGTCTTACCATTTGATCCCCATGGGATCAAGCACCTTGAACAGTGAGCCATATCAAAAGCTCTAGATGGATATGGAAGCTGAATGGAGCCAAGAACTCCAATAACTGCAGGCACACCTCTTTCTAGTGCAAATTGAACCTGTGCCTCATGAGAGTCCCTTGGAGCAAATGACATAGCAATCACATTCCTTTTCAATAGGTACGCACCCCAGCTTGCAACCTGGAAAGATTCTAATATTTAGCAGCAGCAAAACAATCGCTAAGAAAGGTATCCACAGTTTCAACTGGACTGGTAAGTGTAACAGGTAGTAGCGTGCTTGCAGAGAGTACAGTGATAATCTTCGCATTTGTGAATAAGGGGACAATTTTGAAAAGGTACAGTTAGGAATAACAAAACAACAAAGAGTTCAGACTGGATGTTTTATTTTTATTATTTTTTTTTTTTTTTTTTTTTTTTTTATCTAAACAGTGAATATATGTATTACTCCATATTTAGGCAAAATATATCTATAATATGTAAGCTGCAACCTTCTACATTTATATCATAGCACAACAGAACTCAAGAAAAAGAAAAAACTTCAAACAAATAGCATCCACCTGAAGGAAACTAATAACTTATAAACACACAAATACAGTATTAATAAGTTATCATTTCTTACGGAGTTAGAAAAAAATATCCATATGCTAAATTGCTAATAAAAATAAAATTGGTTGAGCATGAGTTAACCAAAAACTTCAAACCAATGGCATCTACCTCAAGGAAACTCATAACTTATAGACACTAAAATACAATATTAATAAGCTATCATTTCTTATAGAAAGTTAGAAAACTATCCACATGCTAATTTGCTAATTAAAAATAAAATTGGTTGAGCATGAGTGAACAATGTAACACATAAAATGAATAAACAGCTGAGAAACTAAAATTCAACATACCCCACAACCAGTATCCAACGCAGTTCTAACAGTGCCATTAGCAATTGGGACAACCGATGCCAGTTGATCAATATACTTATCTGCTCCCTGAGGAAACTGCGTTCCTCCACCAGGAAACCTGAAAACATTTCCTTCATATTGAACCCAATTCTGAATAGCCTTCTCAATCGTCAAACTCTTATAGGGAGCATTTGCGAAAGGAACAAAGTCTCGGCTCTTTGGCCATGGGAAAGGGTTAACCCAGCCTTTGGGTGCTGGTATAAGGCAGTAGAGCTTCTCTTCATCAGGAGGACAGTGCCTCTCTCTATAGATCATGTCATCTCTAGGAAAGGTCATTGCTCGGTTTTGATCTTGGCAAGGAGTATAATCATTGTATTTCTCATCGCAAGGCTCGAAGTTCCGAACACTTGAATCGGAGAGGTCATCGGCGATGCTTTCCTTACTGTGATGTGTCTCAAAGTTAAGATTAGGCAAGAGGGTACAATCCGTTTGTTTAGTGACTTGTAGAGCTATGCTGTCTCCTTTCCCAAATCCACTCTTCTGCCAGGCACCAAGCAAATAGAAGAAACAACACAAGCCGACCACAATAATAATAGATACAGAGCTTCGGGTCCTGTTATCCCCTGGATTTCCTTTGACAGCCATGATACACCTGAAGTAGTTCAAGCAATACCATAAGATAAAGCCAATTTAAAAAACAAGTAATTAGCATGATTGCAGCTAGGCCCATGTAATAAAATCCATATTCACAGGTTCAGAAACTCAAAGCTGATTATGGATTTGTGATGGAATCAAGGTGGTAGAGGCAAAACAGATACTAGCATAGAGATTAATGCTGCATCCTAATCTATCAATAGCTTAAAGAATACACGATCTAGTTAACAAATTGAGTAATATAATTTTTATATTTATCTTCGGAGTTAATCAAAAAATAGAAAACTTGTAGCTTAAACTAAATTCACTCAGCCAGTAATCAATGCCAGCAAGTCACATTAAGAAATCTAAATTACATCCACTTGAATGTCATCACGCTTAAACATAAAACTTAATCAAAAAAGAGCGAACAAAAGACACGAGTCCTCGAATGAAGTAAATTCAACTATACAATAATCTTCTACAAGGCAACTCCAACTGATAGCAAACCCCTACAACAAGTTAATCAAACAAAACCCACATAAAAAAGTCCAATTTTAACGAACATCCCTTAGGAAGTAGCTATTATTAAATCGTATAAACTAGGATCTTCAGCAGCCCATCTAACAAAATCCAATTTTTAAAAGAAAATATGTATCAAAACGTAACCTTTGCGGGATCTATACGTATTCAAGATCAGAGAAGGGGAGATCTCACCGAGATCTTTGACGAGGGCAGCTTAGCTGCCGACAAAGGTCATGGGCCTTTTATGAAACTAACTCGATTCAGAGTTTAGAGAATATAAGGAATTATTGTAAATTATCTTCTTCCTTCTCAGCCCCCTCTCAGTTATTTATTATATCAAACAATCTACCTCGGATAACAATAATTAAATATTACCACATTAATTAACTTCAGACGGTAGAGATGAGGATGTTTTTGTTACGTTTGTTAAGCGATTTTTTTTAGAAAGTTAGTAAATGACTGATGAGTGTCGGTTCGGGGCTTCGGGCCCCGAGTTTTAAAGTCTGCTGGGCCACACAATTTAAAACTTTGCTCATATATTACGGTCTCTTAGGATTTTATTACGGGCGTTTTCCCTAAAAGCCATCTTATACTTAGGATCAGTTTACAAAAATCATTTTATATATTTCAAATTTATATTTAAATCACCTATAGATATAGTTTTTTTTTCCAATCAACTATCGGATCCACTTTGCTGCAAAATCCCAACTACATCCTCACTTAATCACTCATGTAAAACTTTACATGTGGTCTGTTTTGTGGATGCTCTGCAAATTGTATAAGATCAAGTGAAGATATTGTTAGGATTTCAGGAAAATTTCAGTAGCAAAGTGGGGTCAGATAATTGATTAGAAAAAAAATAATTTTGTATGTGGTTTAAATATAAATTGGAAGTATAAGGTGGTTTACATAAATTGACTCTAAATATAAGGTAGTTTTTAGGGGGAAACCCTTTTATAATGGGTAAATTTGATAAAAACCACCCAAACTTATGGGTCCTCTGAATCTTTTTCTCAAAAGCACCTTTAATGTTGGGGGAGCTTATGATAAGTTTGAAGGAATTTATAAGTTGTTGAAATTATAGTCTCGTAATCATCTATCATAAGATGCTTTTAAAAGTTTTAAGGTATTTGGTAAACTGTGTTTAATTTTTATTATTAAGTATAAATGATAAAAATATATAAACAACATGAGATATCAAAATAAATAAGATGATTTTAAGACAAATAAGATAATAATATAAAAAAAGAAACTCTTAAGACAATAATTTCAATATATTAAACCCCAAATATTTTTTACTTTCCTTCTATTTAGACATCATTTATAGTTCAACATTACTATAGAAGGGTATAATGGTCTTATTGATTTTATTTTTCAGAGAAGAGGATTGCCAGTCCAATCATTCTTAGGATGTTATGATGTTATACAACTAAATAAAATTTTAAATTAGTTAAAAAGACAAAATTTTCTTTAAGTACTTCTTAAGGTTTTAAATCCTCTCTCTCTAATTTAAAGTATCAGTTTCATCCTGACTCTCCCCCAAGTTTGATAATGGATTATCCCCAAGCCTGGCAATGTATTTTAAGGGGATGTTTGGTTCGTTTTCTAAATATAAGGAAATGCATTTCCATGTACAAAAACACAAGTTTTGAGTTTTCCAAATTTTTCCAAGAAATGGATTGTTTCGCTTTGGTTCGCAGAAAAAAAAATGATAGGAAACCAATGTATTTATTTTTCTTGTGTTTGGTTCGCATTGAAAAAAAGGAAAAACTCTTGTCGATATTACATTTCCTACTTTTCCTGTGTTTGGTTGGTTTTGAAGTTTGTAGTGAAAAGTGTTTATGGTCACCATGATAAGATTACCCCACTATATACAACTTTATTTGTGCTCGTTATATGATGTAATCTTAATCATATAAAAGTTTGAATGTAATAACATGAACAAATAATAATATCTCCAATGAATTATAAATTTCTGCTTGTATTAATAAAATCATACGAAACCTGAAATAATATGAATCAATTGCAATGAATTACATACTTGATTTGACTTGAAATATACATGTTTCAGATTGAAAAAAATCACATGAAACCTGTACTAACTTGAATATTCACAAATTTATGAAGTTGCATGAATTATCCACAAAATCTGTTGAAACATATTAAAACATATAAACAACCCGAATAGCCATAAATATGTATATAACCTCTTAATTAAATCGCACAAAACCATGTTTGAAAATAATTCCACAACACAAAACCAAGCTCCACATATGATCAGAACTGCACGAATAGAACTATGAAAACTAATAATATTATGAACTGTTACAATCCTTTATAAATTATTTTATCTGCATACAAAGTTTCAAAATTAACTGGTTCGATGAACAACAAGCACCTCAATGAAACAGCGACCAAAGACATCGCCAGATTCACAATAAAAACTGAAACACTCTGTGCTGGAACCTTTGTAAATGGTGTCTTGATAAACTGAACCAATAACTTCTTTTGACATATAGCCCCCCATGTAGGTACAATGAATTCTGCAGACATGAAGATTAACATTGTTGGTAATGAAATAATAGGTTCATTAATGAAATTTCGTTAATGAAATAATAGGTTCAAGTTATAAGAAATGGCTTACCTGGTGCCAGGTTCATTAATGAAATTTCGTTAATGAAATAATAGGTTCAAGTTATAAGAAATGGCTTACCTGGTGCCAGGAGCAGTCAAATTCCGACCTTTCAAAACAAAGGAGGTTTCATGTCCACTTACAACAACAATAGGTGACACATATGTCAGCTCAGGAGCTCTTCATGTCTTCCAAGATTTACACAGATGAAATTTCCCTAGATTCCATATACAATGTCAAAAGATAAGCAGGAATCTAGATAAAATATGAGAAGATAATATCTGACATATTTTGCATGCAATTACTTATGGACACAAGCACAAGATACACTATAACCCTATGCAACATTCTATATTTGGTATGAACTGAGTTAGAACCGTACAACAAATATGAATTAAGGGAATATCTCCTCACAACCACAAGGTACTGGTATGAACAGGGCAAGTGGAGTGAAACTGCAAGCTCTTCAAGTGCCATACATCTTATATTACCTATTTCCTTTCGGCAAATTGGACATTTGTTTTTAACTCTGTTCTTGCAGGCAGAACACAGGGTGTGCCCATATTTCCTTTCGGCAAATTGGACATTTGTTTTTAACTCTGTTCTTGCAGGCAGAACACAGGGTGTGCCCACTGGGACACTGCAGCAAAATCACATAAAATTTTAACTCTGTTCTTGCAGGCAGAACACAGGGTGTGCCCACTGGGACACTGCAGCAAAATCACATAAAACAGATATTGTAAGATCTACTATGAATAAAACAGATGCAGATTATGGCCTTTGTGGCCATAAAACTTTCTACGGCGAGTTCTGGACTTTGAATCAACGAGGAAACTCGTTTTAGTAACACGGGGCTGGGACTCGTTTTAGTATCCCACATGCTTGTCATGATGTTATTTTTTTATATTTTAACTTTTACTCTAGCTGAAATAGTATTTTGGATAGTGTTTAAGGTTGAAAATCACGTTGGAAGCTCAATAAAATGAAAGAAAAAACAACTTTAACATATTGAAAATCTGGTTTAAAAGCTTTCTAGAAAGTAGAGTAAATAAGTAGCTTTTGAGCTTTTGAGTTCATGTACCTTGCTAATAATTAGAAATATTTGTCACTTCAAATATCACAAGTTAGTAAATATGTGATTCTGTAAGTTAGACAAAATTTCTTTATTTTAAACAAAAAACTTACAAAAAAACTCAATATGTCAAAATATAAGAGCCTTTTTCTGATTTGAGCTTCATCTTGGACCCAAAATTGACACTTGATATTTTTCAATATTCCAAGCACGTCAGTGATTATAATGTTAATGCCTGTCACATGTCCCATGATTAGTGCCATAATTTTGGGTTCAAAATTAATTTCTATTTAGGGAAAAGTATGTCAATATCTCAATAATAATAACCTCATGTGACCTGACCCTTCCACCTTTTCTCCTAGTGGATCAGACCCAAAAACTGCATTTAATGTGTCCGGGCCCCTCCACGTCAGCCGTATAAAATAAAAGGTATTGTATTTTGTAATAAACCCTAAATTGCCCTTCTCCTTCTTCCCTAAACACAGCTCCCCGGTCAAGACTTTTTCATGAGCAAAAGCCAGATCCTATTAATGGCGATCTAATGGAGGAATTGGAGGCAAATTTTCCCCTATTTTTCTCTATCATGAGCAATAACTCTCTATTTAATTGTTTAGGGTTTTTGCTCTTCAGTACTCCTCTTGTCCTAAAATACTCTTCGTTACTCATTCTACCTTCCCTTCATAATGATTGAGAAGGCTGTCATCTGCATGGTCTCCTCAGGTGATAAAGCAATTTTCTTAAAGATTAACTCTTCAACCGCTGTGATAGAACTCAAATTTGATGTGTCAGAGAGGTTAAAATTTCCATACGATTCTTTATCATTGACATACAAAGATGAAACAAATGGCAAGTTTAATCTTCCTATTGAGAACGAAGATGATCTGTCATCTATGGTGGAGCAATATTGGGTTAAAAGAGATTCACATGAAAGCTTTTCTAGAAGCAGAGGATTCTTTAATTATCCATAACAATGAGCAAGTTTGACAAGACTCGTAATTTATTGGATTTTTTGATGTTAAGTTAGATTCATATGAAGGCTTTTCTAGAAATAGAGGATTCTTTAATTATCCATAACAATGAGCAAGTTTGACAAGACTCGTAATTTATTGGATTTTTTGATGTTAAGTTCAATCTTTATGACTCGTAATAGGACATCATCACTTTAGGAAGACTAGTGTATACTCTATTTCTCCTTTGGTAGGATGATGATCCATCTCTTGGATCATTAATGTGAGACATCAAGATATAATATACAGGTGACTCATTAGTGAATGAGTTGATTGAACGACTCACTGAGAACATCTATTTGGTAATTATACTTAACTGTCAAATAGAAGTTCTCAAGTGATATAATACATAGTAGTCTCTTAACTTGAGACATGAGTGCAATATCTTACATGTCTGTATATGTGTACTTAGACTTTTACCCAACCACAGTTCTCATTGAGTTGTGCATAATGGTTCTTGTTGGGTGCATCTCGAGACATAAGTATATATTGAGATGCCAAGATGAGATTCGTCTCTCCCAGTATAAGGGGTTGATGTCATAAGATTGTTTGATATAAGTATAGCCAGGAAATCATTGGCCGAGATAAATAAGATAAACTGAGTGTCAGTTTG